AGGGGGAGGGGACACAGCCTGATTGCAAAGACATAGGAGACAGATGTGTGCTGGCTGCAAAGGAAGGATCTCAGGCTTGCAGAAAAGTCAAAGATCACAATGCTTTGGCAAATGCATCAAAAGTGCTTTGCAAAAGGCTGATTTCGAGGTTCTTTGGTTGACAGGTTGGATCATGTCGGATCCATTCGGATCACAAGTGCCTGACATCTGCTTCAAATTGATGTTATGAGTCAACGACATAGGATCTCATCTTTCGTGTGCCCCAATTGTTGGTCAAGGAAAGCAAATTTGCTGACTGTCCTGTCGTTTGGGCCTGTTGGCATTTTGGTCGGCGCAAAGGTCCACTGGTGGTGTTGATCTCAGGTGCGTGTTTTTCGTGGACATCCCCAAGAACTCCTTGCCCTACGTGCCGCGCTTCATCAACGGCTGCATCGTCTTGCTGGCCTCCGCTGAGCTGCTGGTGGCTGGCTTCGTGCAGGCGTGGCGGCGGCCGTGGCCTTGGGCACGGCTTCCAACTAATGCGTTAGGCGTAGGTGACCTATTTTGGTTCGTTTGGTTGGGCCCTGGTTTACCTTGCGCTTCAATCATCTACCAGGGCCATCTATTTTCCCTTTAAGGACGGCTTCCAATTACTTGCGATCGCCGCGAAATCGGTAGGGAATGAGAGTTGGAATGAACCCAGGCTTTGGTCCCCAGAAAAAGGAAACCATTCCCTGCCTATCGCACCAGCAAGATTACCACAGCGGGTAACCAAGAGAAAGCCACCTTGTAAGAGCTAGAGTTAAAATGCTGGTTACTTAGTGAAGTGGTTGCTGGAAGCGCTGTGTTGGGTTTGGGGACCAATCTTTTGGTGACCCTTGGTTGGATTTGTGGATTGGATCTAGATTTGAACCCTTACATCATGAAGCAACGGCAACAGGTTGTTAAAGTTCAGCTGCAACTCTCCGATAGCTAAAATCGCTTGATCATCCCGCATGCTAAAAAAGCAGGCAGGCAGTACAGTGCCATCCACTGTTACTGTTTTGGATTCGAATCCCTGGCAGAAATTCTCAACCCCAAAAGGGGTGCCAGCTTTTTTTGTTTTAGCACCATGAGGGTTGTGAACAACCGGGTTTTAGATTTTTTTCTGCAATACCAAGGGAACTCCTTGAAGGGAACACAAACAATTCGGATGGGAATCCTACTTTAGCATCACAATGTGACTTTTCCACAACTACGGGGATTTCCGACGAAACCGTTGTTGTTTCCAAAGTTCGGCCGGCGTCACATTACAAGTCCCTGAGTCACATGTGAACACGCCATCGCGAAGCCAGTTGCTGGGGCTCCTGTCAGTTTGCTTGGGGCGATTCGTGCGTCCACTTTGATGCTGCTAGGGATTGTGCGATTCGGCCGATTCAGAAGCTTGCTCCTTTGCGTGGAGCAAACAAGCTTTGAGCTGCGGAGTCTGCGGATGAACAGCCAGGCCCCACCGTCCAAAGTCACTCCTAGCATGGCTGGCTTTTGGCAGATCCGAATCGCCCTGTAGGCCTCGTTTTATGTTTTTTGTTGCGGAAGACGTGGCTGTGGGTCAACACCAATGGTACCATTTTGGGGTAGGTGCACCACCCATTTTAGTCTATTTTAGTGGGGATTGGGATGTTCACTGGGGGTACGGGCTTTTGACCCATGGTCATGTCTGGTGGGGCCGAAGCGCCCTGGGGATCTTCTCATATTATTAATCAGCAATGATTGAAAAGACTCCGACTCTGGAAGTTACTTTCCGGGGTAGGCTCCACGGAAGTCCAGTCTCAGTCAAACAAGATGGAACCCTTTCTGTAGGGGTCCCTTGGCAAAGGATACATTTGGGCCAAGAAACATACCACCTGCCAGCTGATGTAGAGGAGGCACTTGTAAAGTAGTTTTGGATGTAAACATTAAGGAGCGCTGTTGTAGGGAGTCTCCGATTCCAGATCCAAATAGTTCTGATGTTTCCCCGAAAGTCATGGGCCGCTTTGACTGTCAGTTTTTTGCCACTGATCAGGGCTACAGCTTGCTCACGCGGAACGAGTTCATCGTCGTGCCTCCCTTGCAACGTTTGCCAAGCCTGTCTTGGTGGTTCCCAGCCATCCCCTTAGCTTGTAGTGGGGGTTTCCATTTAACTCACTAAAAGTCAAACTTTTAGCAGGGGATCTGAGGACAGCCCAGCTTTGTTTTGCATCTCTCAGATAGAACGGATATGGTTGCACAAGTTATTAGCGCCCCAGTCCACAGATCTGGGGGCGGAGGTGTTGTCACGGAGTGGTGTCACCCGCGAAGGTTGTCTCATACACTTGCAGGTTCCGCGTCGCAGGCTTTAGTGTGGCTTTGTGTGCTATGATTATAATAGTCATGGCCAATTATCCCGAGTGAAAAGATGGGGGTAAATAGGTTAAATCGTTATATAGAGTCAGATTCCTGCTTGCCCCAGGCCGACCCGTTTCACTATAGGCTCACCAGTCTTGGCAAGCATTGCTTGCCAATGTGAAGATGTTGATTTTTGTTCTGGCACGTGAGAGTTTGCAACAAGTAGTAGCCAATGCCGAACCTAGGTTTGCATGGCCGCAGCTGCAACACTTCTGTGCGGAGGGCAGGTGCAAGCAGGTGCGTGTTGCCCCCGCGCGATTTGTCGTTGCATTCCTTTTGGACCCTGGCGGAGCCTAGGAATTTCTCGCGAATTCAACATCCAGTGCATGTTGTCGTCAGGGCCAGGGCCTGCCATGATGGTCAAGTTGGTAGATAGTTTGTAGAGGTTGGGGTGGAAACGGATGGGTTGCAAGCCCTTCGTTTTGTTATCCCGGACAGGGCTGCTGGTTGGCATCTTCCTGGCGTTTGCGGACACCATCCGGAACTTCACGCTGGCATTAGAGCAGCTGCCACCCGCCAGGGACGTAACCTGGCAGTAACCGAGAAAATCGCATGGGTGGCTCGCTCGCCCAAGCATGACCATGTGACCGAAGGTACAGGGCGCCTTCTAGACTAGGTCCCCCAGTAGTGCCCTTTTACCGTTTCTTTTTTGGGGGAGGGTTTCCCTACTAAAATAGACTACAGCAAAAAGGGTACCCTTATTCAAACCTCTCTACTGGAGGACCTAGTAGAGGTTCCTGTGCTCAAATATGTAGGGTTGGACACTTAAAATAATTTAGAGGAACATTGCAAGGATTTTGCCATTTTCGTGGAACCATGACCACGGCGAGGCGGCTTTCCACTTTTCATGTTTCGTCATGGCGCCAAGAAGTTAGCCTTTTGTATGTAGGTGCTTTGGGCGGCTGAGGTGGTCTACCGTCGTTTAGGATGACATGGGGGAACAACCCAAACTTCACACAACAGAAGGACCCAATCTGCTTGTGCCCCCGCCTGTGGCCAAGAGAAGGGCCCCTTTAGCGGCATGAACTAGCGGACAGAGATTCACTGATGTGAGTGTTGTTCCAATTCTGTGGCAGTAAGGGCTTACAGTAGGGGGGTTTGACCACGCTATTCAGTGGCACCCTAGGGTGCGTTCCATTGAAGCTGGGCCCCCAAAGCCAGCATGGCAAGAAGGAGGCCAGCGAATCCCCCAACTCTGTGGAGCATGTTTGTTTTTTTGTTCGCTGGCCGCGGTCCAAGAAGTTTGGCTCTATACAATCCCCACCCCTCAAAAATGGATTTGGGGGAGGGGGGCGACCCCTGGAATTCCAGATTGATGCATGTGCTCCAAATGAAGTGTGAGCAGGGGATAGGATCTGGGAAAGAGCGGTCCACAGGGCAAGTCAAGCCTGAAGGGGCGCGCAAATCGGAGTCCGATTTGCCCACAAAGGAAACATGATGTCTAGAATCCCCCCTACCTTAAGGCGAAGGGGGTGGGGGGGTCCCCAATTCCATGTAAGTGGCAGCTTGTCCAAGATCAAGGTACGTCCCCATGATGTCATGTGGGTATGGGTCAAAATTAAAAGCACCAGGGGACAGAAGCAGGTTTTAGTCCAAGTTTCCATTTACCAGGGTTCCAAAATGGATACCATTTTTGACCCACAGCCATGTGGCCTGGGGTGTGTGTCAAGATCGCGCCCAGGAGGGCGGCGCCAAAGTCTTCGAGCTTCCCAGCTACATCTTCTTCGCCACTGCACCAGGCGTCACACGCTCCCCCCCCCCCGCCCGTTTTCCTTTTTCAGGGCGCATGGACCAATATGTAACATACGCATACGAACTACTTTCAGCTATGTGCGGGGGTCGCGTTCGAAACCCGCTGAAATGCATGTGTGTTTGTTTACCCCGGTCAAAATTTGAAGATTCAAAGTGAATTTAAGCAGGAATTTAAGCAGGTAAAGCGATCTCCCAAATCAGAGAAGCAGACCGAGCAGAGTCTGCACCCACCCACGCACCCACGCACCCATGCCTTCAAGCCTTGGCCTGCAGATGTCCGGTAATGTGCGTTGGAGCCAGCTGAGATGATACCTGTTGACACTTGTTCCCCATTGAAACATATGAAAACACCACAAAGATGGCTCTTGATTCACCATCAGAGGAGGTGTCTTATTGAAAAGGGAGGCAAACAATGCATAGAGGGTTCCTCGTTGTATTTTTTGGTTGGGGGATGTCCCTTTTAAACCATAAGAGGTTTCTCACTTGTGAGGAATGATGAACACCATAAGGTGAGTTCTCCATTGTATGGGAATGATGCGCACCGCAAAAAGAGGTCGTTTTATTGGAAGAAATGGGAGGGTGCTGTCTGTGTTTGGTAGGGAGGGAATATTGAAACCATTTGGCGGTTCCACAATAAAGGGGGTTAGACGTAAATCCATGACAAACAGGTTGGCTGTTCATCTCACGGGAATGTGAGAAGCCACGCACAACACAAGGGTCTTTTCAACTTATGGAATTTGGGTATGACCACCAAAAGGGTTCCCTTCGGGATCCATTCAGGCATCCAATGTTGGACGACGCTTTTGTCACAGTTGTGTCCACCATTTCACTGCTGGTTGCCCTTCCGGCTTCTGGCGCGACCAGGGGTCGGTTCTTGCTGGTGCGATAGGCAGGGAATGAGGGCATGACCCCTACAAACCATCCAACTCGTGGTTTCCTTTCTTCGGCAATTTTCAGGTTCATTCCCTCATACCCAATTTGGGGGGCACCAGCAAGGGTTGTTCAAAGAGTTGCCACCAAACCCTCCGCGAAAAAATAGTTAATAAAATAATAATGATGATAATATATGCTAAACAAATGATAATAGCAATACTGACCGCAAAACAATAGTAACAATAATAGCAATAGGAATGATAATAGTGATGATCATATAGGCTAATAATAATGATAATAGCAATACTGACCGCAATAACAATAACAATAATAGCAATAGGAATGATAATAGTGATGATCATATAGGCTAATAATAATGATAATAGCAATACTGACCGCAATAACAATAACAATAATAGCAATAGGAATGATAATAGTGATGATCATATAGGCTAATAATAATGATAATAGCAATACTGACCGCAATAACAATAACAATAATAGCAATAGGAATGATAATAGTGATGATCATATAGGCTAATATAATGATATAGCAATACTGACCGCAATAACAATAACAATAATAGCAATAGGAATGATAATAGTGATGATCATATAGGCTAATAATAATGATGATAGCAATACTGACCGCAATAACAATAACAATAATAGCAATAGGAATGATAATAGTGATGATCATATAGGCTAATAATAATGATGATAGCAATACTGACCGCAATAACAACAATAATAGCAATAGGAATGATATAGTGATGATCATATAGGCTAATAATAATGATGATAGCAATACTGACCGCAATAACAATAACAATAATAGCAATAGGAATGATAATAGTGATGATCATATAGGCTAATAATAATGATGATAGCAATACTGACCGCAATAACAATAACAATAATAGCAATAGGAATGATAATAGTGATGATCATATAGGCTAATAATAATGATGATAGCAATACTGACCGCAATAACAATAACAATAATAGCAATAGGAATGATAATAGTGATGATCATATAGGCTAATAATAGTGATGATAGCAATACTGACCGCAATAACAATAACAATAATAGCAATAGGAATGATAATAGTGATGATCATATAGGCTAATGATAATGATAGTAGCAATACTGACCGCAATAACAATAACAATAATAGCAATAGGAATGATAATAGTGATGATCATATAGGCTAATAATAATGATGATAGCAATACTGACCGCAATAACAATAACAATGATAGCAATAGGAATGATAATAGTGATGATCATATAGGCTAATAATAATGATGATAGCAATACTGACCGCAATAACAACAATAATAGCAATAGGAATGATCATAGTGATGATCATATAGGCTAATAATAATGATGATAGCAATACTGACCGCAATAACAATAACAATAATAGCAATAGGAATGATAATAGTGATGATCATATAGGCTAATAATAATGATGATAGCAATACTGACCGCAATAACAATAACAATAATAGCAATAGGAATGATAATAGTGATGATCATATAGGCTAATAATAATGATGATAGCAATACTGACCGCAATAACAATAACAATAATAGCAATAGGAATGATAGTGATGATCATATAGGCTAATAATAATGATGATAGCAATACTGACCGCAATAACAATAACAATAATAGCAATAGGAATGATAATAGTGATGATCATATAGGCTAATAATAACGATAATAGCAATACTGACCGCAATAACAATAACAATAATAGCAATAGGAATGATAATAGTGATGATCATATAGGCTAATAATAATGATAATAGCAATACTGACCGCAATAACAATAACAATAAAAGCAATAGGCATGATAATAGTGATGATCATATAGGCTAATAATAATGATAACAGCAATACTGACCGCAATAACAATAACAATAATAGCAATAGGAATGACAACAATAATGCTAATAATAATGATATAAGAAAAGCCGAACACCGGCGGCGCAGGAATCACCGCTGCCATCCGAGAGGAGCTGCAGTCGCGGGTGGTCATTCTGGACTGGGCGCCTTGGATCCAGCGGTCGCCATCCGGTTCCTTAGTCCCGGCGTTTCGCTTTTTGGGCGGTCAGCTTTCTAGTTGCTTGAGTGGGCTTCATCTCACCCACTGCGGCTTTTAGTTTTCTAGGTGGTTTGGTGGTTTTAGGCCGTTGGGCTTTTAGCTTTCAGCTTTGTTCTTCTGATCCACCAAGAGTTATATACTCTTCGGCGACACTTAGGGCACCTCAGTGGTTTTCATCAACCCCACTAAAGGTTTTTATTTTAACCCCTTAGCTGCACCTGGCAGCTTCTTTCACGGGACCTGACCTGGCAGTCCAATTCTCGGAACCGAGAATACTTTTGGAGCTCACTCGCCCGAAAGCCCGAAAGCGAATCGATCTTTTGACCTTTTAGTTTCTCTGTTTGGCTCATGTTTAGTCACTTGGGTATGGGTCAAAGCCCAGATACCCTTTTCTTGGTCACTCCCCTTTGGTTTGGTCCATTCTGAAAGGGAATTGGGGGCTAGGGGTACCAGGGTTTTGACCCGCAGCCACTTCGTCCTGGCCCCAAGCGGTTAACCTTTCATGTCCAGGTTCTTTGGGCAGCCGACCTTTTTAGAATGACACGTGGGATGGTCCACTGTCGGTTCGAGGACAATCCGGGACGACTGGCAGAATCATTGTTGCTCCTCCGGTTAACATCGCGGATGCCCCGTTTTGACATGGATTCTTTTTTGGGGTTCCGTGTTTTTTAGGGTTCCATTTAGTTTGCGCGGGGGTAGGGGGTGTAGAGAACCACCATTTGTGTCCAAAGCTTCCGTGAATCCGCCTAGAAAGCAATCAGGGTCCATAGGAGAAAGGCTGACCTAGTATATAGCCTTTCTTTATTCTTTGCAAAGGGCAAATTGGCTAAATCCTTCTCCGTGGTTACCTTTTTTGGAAGAACTCAAAGGGACATCACCCATTTGTGGGTTGCCCTCATAGACACCGTTGAAATAAGAACCAATGACCTAACCCAAACAAAATCGGGACGTACGTTGTGTTTCTTTTTTTTCCGCGAGCTTCCAGGCTCCTTTGGGCGGAAAGGGAGAGACGATGATCAGGTAATTGGAAACCAGTGGTTTGGGATTTGAACCCAGTTCCTGAACTGAACCCAAATGGGTTTTTGGTAGTCGCTAATGTCCAAACCACCGATTCTTGCGTGCGTTTGCCATGCGAAAGATGTCTAGGTACGGCCGTGTACAGATTTTTGCGGTAGCCAGAAAGTACAGTTAAAGCATGCCACACTGCTGCTTTCCAACAGGAAAATTGTTATAACGACGCAGTGCCCAAGCTTGTTGTTCGCTTAAATGTGCCTCCAAACCAGCTAGGGGGAAGCTGAGACCTAGAGACATAGCATAAGGGAATGAACGGGCGGAACCCGAATTTCACAAAACCAGCCTCTTTTACCGGATTCTTTGTTTAGGGAGGGGGGCGTTTCATTTAGAGAACGAAACCTGCAATTCAGGGATCTGCAAGTAAATCACCTTCGGTCAATTTTCTGCGCGCCTTACCCCAAATAATGAGACCCGGATGAAGCTTCACGCCTTTGCCATCCCCTTGAGTGCACCACTTTGAAATCTGCGGCTTCCAAAGCATTCGCAGCGCCCTTGTCAACTCAATCTTTGCAACCTTTGTCAGGCAGTTCAGGAGAATCACTCGTTTCGAATTGGCCTACTCCAGCTTTTTTCGTATTGGCACTTTGGATTTTAAGCCATTGTATTGCGGGGGCTTCAGAATTAAGGGACATGCCCCGGCTGTTCAGGAGGGGGTCAGGATGAGCCTCTCACGCTGCCTCTGCGGTTGCAGCCGTAAGGGGGCCAAACACTTAACGTCCCTTTTCCCACAATCAGGGAAGCAAAAGGACGTTTCAACACCAACATTTTTTGAGAAATGGGATGTTCTGGGACTTGAACCCGGGACCTCTGCTGCCACTAGACCAAACAAACAGTGATCGATGCCCACTAGGAGAAGGTTCGAGGCTTGGACACGCTGCTTCGCTGCAATGCTGGCTGCTGGCTGTTCCGCAGGGCGGTCGGTCTACCGAAGCTAATTACACCGGTGTATATGCGTAGTTGTTGTTTGATTTATAAGTAGATTTAGGGAGAGAGACAGTGAGATACCTAGTGGTATTGACATGTGCTTCACTTCTTTGCCTTCTATATTCTCTTCATGTTTAGCGGTGGCTGCAGAGGACTGTTTGTTTTTTCACGTGTATTGGAGGGTTGGCATCGCTTTGCCCCTTTCCCTTCCCTTCCCGAAATCCCCTGCTTCGGCTAAGTAATTCTGCCTTTGACCATGGGCATTAGGCGGGAATATATCGCTAGGCCTCAAGAATGTTTGGGTTTAACCTCGCCAACAAAAAGACCTTGACAAGGCCGTGTAAGGGGCACCCCCACCCCCAACACATAGAATTGGGGAGGTGCGCAGGAATTCCATTTAGAGTTCCAAAGAGTTGACATGGTCTTAGGGTTTGAGTAGAAGCAACCTGACAAGAACATCGGGCAGACAGTAGCAATGGCAAGTCCGCATCGCTGCGTTTTTGTTGAAGCACAGGGTGGGGCCCATGTGTTGCAAGGGAACCATGGCTTTTTGAGTTGCGATTCGGTCTCTGCTTGCATTCTTTTGCGACAGCGGGATCTCATGTGCGGAGGTGAGTTTGCAAAATGTGAATTGCCTGTGCTCACTGGCCACGGCAATGCGGTACATTGGCCCTTGGAGCAAACGCCTTGAACCAAGGTGTGTTAGCTGGATGTGATTCAGTGTCATGTTCGCGTGCCTGCCATAACCAGGGTATTTGCACATTTGTGATACGTTTGCCCAGGAAGGCTGCAATGGAGTTTGCCCAGTTGCTGGACAAAGAGGACACTAGGCGGGGCTCAATTGGGGCCAACTGTTGGTGGCTGGCTTTCCTCTGTAACCCCGCACTCCGAGAAGTACTGCAGTCATAGAGAGGCCGGTAGAGGAAATTCCCCACCCTTAGCTTTTTGAAGAACGTGCCCCTCCCCCTCCATGCATTGTTTTCGTTGTAGCCGTATTCTGGTATTTTTTGCGGTTTCGGCAAGCCCCTGTTGTTTGCGGAAGGGCTCCTCCCCTTCCACGAAGGTTCATTGAGGCGACACAACCAAGTGCTTTTTTTCCGATTTGAATTGGCATGAACGAGCCATCACATTAGTCCTGCCAATGCATGCAGGTACCTTAAGTTTGTCATTTTCACCAGCAGAAAGTTAAAGTCTAGCGAGTCTAGCTACGATTCCGAACATGTTGAAGCAAGTTAACTTTTTTGCAGTTGCAGGAGGTCTAAGTTTGGTCACCCGGTCAAGCTAGGAGACAGAGTCCCAACGCAGTGGGCTCGTTTGGCAAGGCTTCTTCTGAATGGTGGTGGGATCCAGTCTGCCGGTCAGTGGTTCCGTCGGTTCGGTCGCTCGGTTGGTCCGCTTGTCAGTTCAGACCAACCCTACACCTACTCCAAACCTACCGTAAAGCAACCCCAAGCCGGAAACCTACCCTAACCTTACACAAAACCCACCCCAATGTGCCGTAAACGAATCCTATCTTCGACCTCTAAACCTCCGACGGATGCGTCAGGCCGCGGGGGGCGCTGGTATACTGCGGGCTCAAAGGCCCCTGTCGCCCGCTGCTGGTGAAGGCCGAGGCTCTTCCCGAGGAGGCCGCTGCGTTCGGAGGTAGGTCCCTTGGTTTCCTCTTCGTTTCCCCTTTGACCATCCACGTTAACGGGGGTCCACCTTGAGAACACCCCAAAGCTCACTTCCTGAGTTCCTGGACTGGAGTCACTTCTTCGGAAGACTATTTTGGCGGTACAAAGCAGATTCCGTTTGAATGGTTTGCAGAGGTCCTTTGAATGTAGGCTTCTTTTCTGGTCAACATTGAGCGACCGCAGCCGCCGGGGTGGGTTTGAACGATTTAGCGGACTCAGCTCCGAGGTGGCGATTGAGATTTGAGGGAGGTGCGGGGCACAGAAAGTCCGGTCTCTTTGGGGATGGACACCCGACCAGTTTTGTGTTTCCTGAGGCCCGCCGGCAAATCCTGTACGAGATGAATACGCAAAACAACTTGTGATCCTTTCCACTGTTTGTGTTTTCGAGAAGAGCAGCTGGCTGTGCGGGCAGCACTTTGTGTCAGGGGCGCGGCTGTGCAGGTAGGAATCCGAGCCTTTGAGCGTGGCTTGCTTGCGGAATCTTGCGGTGTTGCTTCAGTCACGTCTGGGCTGCCCATGGCGTGCAGACGCTTCTTTCGACAGCTTTGGTGCGATCCTTGAGTTTGCCCACTATACTGGGTGGAGCTCCAGTTGCAGCCTCGTGGGAGGCTCGTGGGAGGTTCGTGGGGCTCAGTCTCCGGGAGCCCTCGTCCGCGCGAAGAAGCGCGAAGACGCACGGCGCGAAGAGAAGCAAGCCCCCGCACATGGGGTGGTTTCCTTTGGTGTGTTTCTTTGCGGGTACCCCTTTTTGTTTTGGTTCTAAACGGAACCCAAAAGGAACACCACCAATTTGGGGTCCCCTAACACAAGAACCCCCGCCCCCCCCCCTCCCCGAGGCGCGTATTCTCTTAGCCACACGAGGCCACGAGGCCAGTTGCTCCGTGCAGCGTAGCGAGCCTAAGTCTTGTCACTTTGTGGGATGACAATTTTTAGTGGCAAGTCAATAGTTTGGACTTATTTTGGGCCATCCACTCGGGAAGTGAGACTATTATCTGCACAACTCTGTCTCTCAAAGTTAGGGGGCCCAACATGTTTGGTTTACTTGTGGTTTCCTTTCAAAACCATACTGAAAAGGGTTCCTCCATTTTGACACCCGCATATGTTCAATAGAGATTTGGTGAGTTTTTTTGTTGCTTGGTATCCCTTTTCGGGAGCATTTGTTCTACCCTTGGGCCGGGGATGTAGGAGCGCCCACTTCAAGTTTCATTTGCTCAGGGTTCGCGAGTTATTCTCCTGGCTCCACAGGTCAATGCCAGATCCACAAGACACCTGCAAGGAATGGTTTGTGGGGTCGTTACCGCATTCCCTGGAAGCAAGATTGACATGGGCATACGAAGCCTGCTGAATGAAATCATACTGCAAGTTAGCCAGCCTCCTGGTTTTGGTAAGTATTGGCTGACCTTCCTGCATGATTTCCTGTAGCTGGTTTCTATAGTGTCGCAAAAAACGGCCTAGCACATGTACACTGTACAGCAGGTGCGATTTTGTGGCTTTGATTGGCAAACATGCTCAGTCAATGCCAGGCAGGCTCGATGAGCAATGCCAGCTACGAGACTGCGCGAGGCAGATCCTTTCATGTGACCTTCTCAGATGCTCAGCCGTACCCTTCTCCAGTTCTTAGCAAAGGGAGGTATGGGAGGTTTGGGACGTATGGGAGGGTTGGCCTTTCATAGTGCTTTGTGGGCCCCACGAATACCGCTAGTCACCATCAGGTTGCAATTGCTCCCACGCTGCGTCTCTGAATCGTTGTATGATCCCCAGAACCCAAAAGGGGGTGTCCCCCAAAGGAGATTCCTCGCTCTAATTGAATGACTCTTTTGGGCTTCCACGTTGCAGGGGGTTGTCTTTGGGCTCACGTGTTTCGAATCGGAATACCCCTTAGAAGACCACCAAAAGTCCAAAAGGGTCCAACTCCCCAAAGATACGGCAGAAGCGTTCCCCCCCAAAAAAAAACAGAAGCAGAAAAGGAACAGAAGCGGACTGCGAGTGCAACAAAACAAGTTATGGAGGTCGCTCGTCCCCCGGCCCCCAAACATGCTTGGCAGTAGGGAGCAGTGGGGAATCTAATCAAGGATACCGGTACTAGCAGGTTTCTGGGTTCAGGATTTGCCTGCTTCTGTTATGGTGCCTATATGTTGACAAAGCCTGAGCAGCAATATTAACGTCGGAACAACCCCTGCTGCCCGGCTGCCCCCCCAGAAGGTCAAGCCTCAGAGTCAACGGATTCTGGCGGTGAAGGTGGTTGGTTGGGAGCGGAAAGAAAAGGGGACCCACAAACTGGTTGGTTTCCTCTGGGTTTCTCTTTAAACCAACCCCAAGAACAATCCTGAACGAGAGACATGTTTAGGATTCCCGCAAGGAAAGCCACGGGTTCCCCATGACCTAGACAAGCCCATTTGGGTGTGAGCCTTCACTGGGAGCGTGGTTTTCCTTTTGGTGTCCCTTCAAATTTAAGCCACCCCAAAAAGGCTACTTTCAAACAGCACACACCCATATAGTTTGAGCATCTCGGGTGGATGAGGGGTGCCCAACGGGGTGCCTGTGTGAGCGCTCAATGTGCTGTGGAGTGCTATCCTGCTGTATAGGCCTAGGAAAAACACTTTTGGGAGGCGGCCAGCGCGGCTCGCGCTCGCGCAGAAGTACAAGGAGCGATTTGGGAAAAAACCACTGGGCGAATCGAACTGGACTTGTGGCGGTTGTGGTTTATGAGGGTGCCCATTTGACACGTCTAGCTGGTTTATTGGGAAGCCAAAAGGACGGCGCAACATTTGTTGGTCGCCCTATTTGGACACACCAAAGTTTAGCCAAATGGGTTCGTTGGTCTCCAAGCGATCAAGCACCTCTTGCGCAAACTCAAGCCCAGCGTCGTTTAATATGTTTTGAATCCGCCCATGTTTCAAAAGGGGATTCCGGGTCACCAGGCAGGACAGGCAAATGTTTTGCTTTGTTTCACCATCAGAGAGCTGACAAAGCAACAGGGCAATCCGTGCGCACAATTGTGTCTTTTTGTTGAAGGTTATGTCGCAGTTGTTGGCAAGTGTTTAGCTTTTGTTGTTGTTTGGTTCTGCTCATTTTAGTGGGGGCTGCCATGCCAATGGTTGTAAAGGATATTCCCCGCTCTAGACAAACCCACGCCATCCCAGGCCAATGACCTGCGCAGCACCTAGCGGAGGTTGTGCCATGATGTGTTCCCCCTGCCACCCCCCCTCTCCACCCCATGGGGCAAACAAAAATGCCGGGCAACCATAACAGCTACAAATTCTGGGTACGATAGCCGGTAAACATAGGAGCCTTCAGAGCAGTCCTGGAAGCCAAGCTTTTCCAGATCAGTACTTAAAGGGCTGATCGGGTACTTAGTGGTTACCCAAGGTATGAGCCACTTAGGATAGTTATAACCAGGCTTACTAGCCGCTTACTAAGTACGTAGTGCCGGGATGGATTCTTGGGGGTTCCCAGTTGCTGATTCCAATGCCGAGAGGCTACCAGGACAGTTTTTTGACAAGTGATCTATTTCTGGCTGGCTGAAAGCGTTTGTGACCTCAAAGGCTCAAAGGATCCTCCCTGGATCCTGAAAATTTCGGTTGGTGAAGAATACCGCTTGTCCAACTGAGTTGTTGAAAATCGCCGATCAATCCTTTACACAATTGCAGTCTCACTTGCCCAAAGCCGACCTTTTGACCTTTTGGTTTTTAGTCATGGCCCCAAAAAGCTAACCTTTGATTTCTGGGTTCTTTGGGCATCCAAATTATAGTGGTGTTTTTTTGTGCGGGTGTCCCACTATGGATCGACTAGGATTCGGGGCCCAGCTAGCATTGGGCCTCGGTGCCAGGCTGGGCGTGCGCAGCATGCATTTGCTGGCCGAGGAGGCGCCCAGCGACTTGGTAACACAAGGCTTCGGGGTGCCACTTTGTTTACTCACTGGCTGAGTGGATGGCCCAGAAAAAGTTCAACTTTATATATATATATATATATATTTACCACTAAAATGGTCTTCCCAAAAAGTTTAAAGCTCATGAACTCAGGAAGTGAGTTTATGGCTACTTAGTAGCGGGTCTTCGGACTTGAGCTTTTTGGTTCAGCCAGGTCGGATTTTTCATTGGACCCGTAGAAAGTTGAGCTTTGTCCGGAGGAGTCAACAGTTTCTGTCAGTTTCTGTGCCGAGGGAGAGTCCTTATGAGCAAGGTCTTTATTAACTTATGGCCCACACTGGTATCACAGGACAGACTCTGTTTCCCGGAATGCTTGAGGGCTGGGGTGAATTCGTTCCCGCATCCCCGGCCCCGGCGCTTGTCCCAATGACACCCTCTTCCCCAATTTCTGTTGTTCCTGGTGAGAAAGTCCCTCTTCTTGGGCACCCTTTCAGGATGTGAGCGCCCTCAAAACCCAAGAATGTATGTGAGGTCAGCAAAGGACAGTCTCACCCATAACAAAAACATAGGTGCGCATATTTCCCCTGTTGATTTGTTGCCTATTTTGGGCACACCGCATATGTTGCACAAGGTGAATGTTGGGCATGTGTTCTTTGTTCAGAAGCAGACGTCAGAGCGGTAGTTTCCTTCCCACCAATTAATATGGGACCTGACAGGGGGTCACTGGCAGACCATTGTCCTTTTTGAAGGGACCCGCCGGTGGTCAATTGGTGGGAGGGTAGGTGCTTCATTCTAGCAGGACATAGTCTTCCACCATGGAGGCATGTTTTTCTCTTGGGAAGGGAGGTGCAGTTCCATGTTTTGTTGGTGCCAGACCGGTAAATGGGCTCACCCACAAAGATTATTTAGGGCGCAGGACGCATAGTCGTTCCAATTTGTGGATATTGTGCCAACTGTTCGCCTGCTAGTACCTCAATTACTCCCTTAGTTGCCACTCATTCACCGTTCTATTTACATGAAGACTCTATTGCATATATATATATACATATCTATGTGTACATATACTAATCTATGTATATTCTCAACCGCATTTTACTGAGTGGACTGCCTAGGCATCTCCTGGCCCTTGGAGGTGCAGGGCATGCTGCAGGCCAAAGACTTGGCGAGGCGCGCGGGAACCGCGAAGCGGAGCTGCCGACGAATGATCCGCGTTTCCAACTGATGGTTCCCCAGTTGCCCAGTGGATTCCGCCCCCTTTTTTCAACTTTGTTTGGGAGGGGTTCCCCCTTAAAACTCAACCAACCCAAAAGGACGCCCTTTTCTTCCCATGGCCACTGGGCATCTGACGATCCCAGCCATCCGGCTCCTTAGCTTGACAGCTTTCTCGGGTTTAGTGACTCGCGACCCCTGGAGATGGTTTCGGACAGTGTGCCGAAATCGGCCGCTCATTGCGACTTGGGCGATCGGATACGTCAGTTAAGTGGCGATCGTAAGCCTGGTGAAGTAATGCACTGAACGGAGACTTATGACCATGGCTTTTGTGGGTTACAACCGCCACTGACTAGGTACCCGGTCGCCCCTTTTAGTAAACGAAGTTAAACTCCTTCATGGGAAAGGAAAGAACGAACCCGTCTAGCCATGCCCACCAGTCCTTAGTTCCATGCGCGAAATGTGAGCTATCTTGCCAAGAGGAATGCAACAACATGTGGAATCCACCTTCGCAGGCAGCATCATCGCATTGGCTGAGCCTGGGCCAGGTTGCTTTGTGAGGAGCAGGAGCTGAAGCTGATGGGCCGCGGTAACTGTGCAGGGCAAGCTGCGAGCGGTTTCTCCGCTGGCGACTCTGCAGGGACATGAAGTGCTCCGGACAATAAAGGCCGAAAACGGCACGGGTTGTTCGGGGCTCCCTGTATTTCCCCTGTAGGTGGTTTTAGACACTGCCTTTTTAGCCAATTTAAAAGGCTCACCGATGAAGACAATGGGGAACCCGGTGTTAATGCATCCCTGGATGAATTCTCCATACCCTGGTTGCACAGTGTTGTGTGTTTATCGGTCAGCCAACCCAGGGATACACGATGCTTGGATGGTGGAGTGTTCACCCAATAAAGCAAATAAAGAAATCGCTTTTTCTGGGGGCAAAGAGGAGAGGGTTCATGCCTTTTTTAAGGTTGCCCCTTTTGTTTTGCGATAAGGGAAACCAAAAGGAGAAGCGCAATGTTGGGGGTCCCCCAACATAAAGACACGCCGGTGGCGATGATTGTTTCCCAGCAGCGGGGATCTCAATGGGTTCTCCTTGACTGCCAGACCTCGGAGGATCATCTACCGTAAGGAAACGCGAAGACGAGCTTCAGGGGTTCGGTGTCTACACGTTGCGGTGCCCAGTTGCCCAGCGGATTCCGCACGGTTTTTCCTTTTTGTTGCACAAACCCATGGCCACCTGGCATCTGAGGGTAGGCCCATCATGAGGTAGTGGGTTGAATCCGTAGAACCCCAGCCTAATTATGGACGCTGTCCCGTATTCAAGCATCCTCATATTTGAGGGCATGGGCGGCGTGCAAGGGCTTGAGTTCGTGTTGAGGAGAGTTGTTGAGTAACTCACTTGCCCAAAGCGAATCGATCTTTTGAGCTTTTGTTCCCTGGTTTGGTCTACTTTTAGTCCAAAAGACAAACAGTAACCTTTCATTTCTGGGTTCTGCAGGCTGAGCCAATTCCGAGACAGGATGAAGAAGCCCCGGGTTGATGGGGGGATGATGGGGGGTGTCTCATTCAAAGGGAATCCTTCACTGGAATAGGCGACACCCTGAGCAATTTTCGCCTCGCTTCCCATGCTCAAGCTCACCTCGCAAGTGCATACCATGCAAGAACAAGCATTTGGCACCTCGATACGGTGAAGGTGAGGTTGCTGTTGGGCACAAAATCAGGACGACACGTCCGATGCAAAAACAGAACATTGCCACTTCAGAAGTCTCCACGCATGGATGGCCCTCGGGTTTTCACGAAGGAGGTCGCCGCGGTTTTGTGAAGCCCGCAGCCATGGTGTGGACGGATTCCTTGCCCCCAAACGTACAGGCGCTGGTGAAGGCCAGGAAACGTGGGATTCGCAGGGCTCCATGCTCAGAGCTTGAAGCGGCAAGGCATACCTGGACCTTCCTGCATGCTCAAAATTTCCGCCTTTTCGCTACGAAGTGCCTTTTGGGGCAATTGCACGTAAGTTTTGCCTACGGCCTTTTCTTGCTGGGTGTTTAGCGCAATCTCCCCAAACCTACCGGCAAAGTTTCCCGACAAACAGGCGAACATTCCCGACCAACAGGCGAACATTCCCGACCGCGGTGCAAACAGATGTGACTGCCGGCGTGTTTTTTGCCCTCAAAGACCAACCATTTCTTTTTTTAAAAAAATAAAAAGTATATTATTCTTAACCAAATTGGAGCTTCAATATAGATTCCCTTTAAAACCCACCGTGGGAAAACACAAATCTTCTTCACCAAGTTTGTTTGCCAGATCGTCCGATCCTCGGGGCCCTTATATATGCCAACGAAAAAAAAGAAGCGGAAACAAAAAAAAACAGTGTTTTTTGGCCAACGCCTAAAGTTTTGACCCCCGGAAGGTCCAGGTATATAAATAAAAAATATTGTACCTCCCCCCCCAAAACCCAAAACTTTTGTTTTGGGGGGGTAGCATATATATATATATACAAGTATGTAATTGTGTAATAAATGTTATTATGGGTGTCTTGCCCCTTTTTCCTCCTTTTGGTTCACAAGAAAACCAAAAGGAACAACATCTTTGGGGGCCCTCAAATCTTCCATGCAACCCCTCTGCGGACGTGCAGTTTGCGGTTTTTTTGCTGATGGCCTTGGTGGCGAGCAGAACCAGGCAAAACGAGCCTCTGCAGTTGTCGTGCGCTGCCGTTTTCAGCCCCGCAAACCTCAAAACACGTTAAACGGTTTGAAGATTCGGAAATCTGTTCAGGCTATCTCCAGTCTTAGGTCTAAAGGGAAACAATCTTCTGTGTGGACAACTTAGGTTTGTTTGGCTGGCCATCGCAGAAGTTGGGGAATTTGAAGGCTGGATCAAAGCAACTCTTGGATCCTCGCAAGGCCGCCGGAGTGGCGGAAAGCTCACCCGGACTCGGGGCTTTCATGGCCGTTCCGAAGCTGATTCAATGGGATAAGCAGAGGATCTAGGGCAAATTGCTGTGATTCCCAGACCGGACCTTCATGAGCTCGTTGTACCCCAGGTGCTATCATCAGACTTCGAGCAGACTAGTTTTACCTCCCCAAGCAATTCCATGGAAGATCCCAGTTTTCCATGTACTGTGGCCCTCAATGGAATTGCATGAGTGAGAGTATGTCAGCGTATTGTTACCCACAGCCCCCGTGGTTTGCCGGCAACCCCTAATCCACCCTTGTCCAGCACGTGGTTCAAGCATGGCACCCTTTACTACTCAAGTAGCAGAACTCGTGCAGCCATACCTGACACGTGGTGACCTGCGTTCTCTTCAGATGGTACCACGAGGGCGTGGGTAGCAGGCAGGTCTGGGGGTTTTTAGGGTTTAGGTTTAGGGATTTTAGGGTTTAGGTGTCTGCAAGCAGGTTTGGTTTTTTATAGGGTTGAGGTTTAGGGTTTTTAGGGTTTAGATTTATGGGTTTTAGGGTTTAGGTTTAGGGTTTTGTGTCGGGGCGTTGGTTTGGGGCGCAGGCAAACCTCAGGGGCTGGCCGTATTGTTAGCAGCCACTGTCCAAGAATGAACCACAGCAAAGAACCAAAAGCTCAAAACACAAACCAGTCCTAATAGAGATTCTGCTGGAATTCAAGTTTAGGGACTAAGCGTGGGTGTTCTAATTACCACTCAGGCTCAAATCTTATTGGCTATTGATGCTGCAAACTTGGTCATACGGGTACGAGCTTATGGCTAAGCTAAACATGAAACAATGCCAGATTTGTTTGGGCCATACTGGTTCAGAGCAGATTCCGTATATGGGTCTGTCTGAATGTGGTCCAACATTGGTGGTTGGTCTCTTTACTTTCCCTTTCCATACCTACCAAAAAGGGGGCTATCCTCAAAAAATGGCAGACCCATGCGTTGCAGGCAGTTCCCCCCACGCCAAACAAAAGAAAAGAGCAAAAACAGCCAACAACATGAAAGCGGTGAAACCACCCCTGGTGCCGTCGGGTTTTTGCGCGTCAGTCAGTGCTTTGCCAGGTGCTAACGAGCTGGGACTGGCGCATTTGGCTGGTGGCCTTTATCGTAGGATCTGCACCTTGGATGGTTTGGTCAATTTCTGACGGGTTGGTTTCGAGGGAACCAGCTGGTGGTTTCCTTAAGGGAGTCCGGTTTCGAGAACTTCCAGCTATTCAGGAACTTGCAGCCAACTCTTTGGCTCAAACCATGGAATTTTGAACATTTCCCTCTTTTCCTTCTGGCGCGATAGGCAGGGAATGGGTTGGCATGATCCCTACGTGATCCCTACAAACCATCCAACTGGTGAATGAGAACTGGAATGACCCCGAAATTAAACCATCCAACGGAATGCCTTGGTTCATTCCCAGCACCCGAAAAGTCATTCACTACTGAGCACCGGCAAACATGAAGGGATGTCAGAAAAATGCAGGGTTTCCTTTAGGGAGCCCCATGGGTTTCAGCTTTCCTTTTCTTTCCTGGAGATTCCGAGCCATTTTCCTTTTTGGAACCTCCAAAAGTGGAGATCGTCCGAAACCACCACAGGAAAATGTTGGCCGGTGTCCGAGCCATTTCCCTTTTTCAATTCAATCTTGGCGACCACTAAATCGATCAACTTTTCAAGTGGATGTCCAGTGACCCTCAATATGGCCGGTTCCGTTTTGGACTTTGTTGCTGCCTTGTGCCTTTTTCAAGGGGATAACAAAGGGGGTTCACGTTGAGAAAACCACCCCCATTTTGTTTTTCTGGGGAGGGGTTCTTAAGGATTCAGCTCGGGCAGTTTGTATATGCAATTCTCAAACAAGCAACTGCCTTGATGAGGGCATCCTTTGCTACTGCCAGCCTCTGCAGTGCTGCCCTAACTTTTAGGAAGGGAACAAGACCATTGAATTTGTCGAACAACTACACAAGGTCGTGGACGAAAGGACCTGTCATATTTGTGACCCCTCATGAACAGCGTTTACACCTGAGAAGTCACCCACATAGTCAAAGCTTTGGGTCCAAGTTGTTGGTGCGATTGGTAGGGAATGTGGGAATGAACCCAGGCTTTGGTCCGCAAATAAAGGAAACCACCAGCTGACTGGTTTATCTCGGGGTCATTCCATTTCGCATTCCCTGCCTATCGCACCGGAAAGAAAAGAGGGAAATCCTAAATTCCTGGGTTGAGCCAAAGAGTTGGCTGCAAGTTCCTGAATAGCTGGAAGTTCTCGAAACCGGACTCCCTTAAAGGAAACCACCAGTTGGAGGGTCATTCCAATTTTCAGTTCCTGCCTCTCTCGCGCCAATCGCAAGTATTTGACTCAGGTGATTCTGCAGCACAAGGGCCCTCAGTCCCCCTTGGAGCAGGCCGCTAAGGCCAGATTTGAGCCGATTTCTCCCATGGAGTCCACTTCACCGGCAAAAGTCACCTCTAGACCGGAGCTCCCTATGGCTGCAGCCTGGAAAAATATGGGGAGTTTGCGGGCGTTTTTTTCTCCATCTAAAGAGAAGCTCTTTGCCTTCCAAGATGCTTTGGCCGTGGTTGAAACAGCCCGGAAGGAAGGCGCGTGAGTTCCTTAGGGCCAAAGCTTTGCCAACAAAGGGATGCTGGTGGGTGATTGGTAACTGAGAGCAGGCACATGGTAACGCGCAAAACTGAGGCCCTCCAAAAAATCGAGCTGTTGACCTTTTTGGTTTCTTTGGGTAGCTTGGCACAT